AAAAAAGAAATTAAAAATAATAAAATAATAACAGAAACATGTATATATATATAAAGGAAGCTAAGAAATTAAAAATAATAAAATAACAAACTAATATAAAAAAAATTAAACAAAATGTAAAAAAGAGAAATTAAAAATGATAAAATAATAACAAATCTTCTTAGATTGGACTCATTACCACTCTGACAAATCCATTAATATGAATGCATTCTTAATATACTTTAGATATTTTTATTTGGATCGGGTCAACCCCGAAACTTTTACCCATGAACCCGAAACCGAATCGATTCAGTTTGGGTTCAGAAAAATGAACCCAACCCTACCCGAAATACTAATCCAACCCAACCCAACAGTTATAGTTCGAATTGGATTGGTCCGGGTTGCCGGGTTGCCGAGTTGAATGTACACCTGTCTTATACAAAAATTAAATTAAATATAAAATGCCCTAAATCCTCTTTTCTAATATTTTCATTAGATATTAATACTTTAATTAAATACAATAAATACACCAACATGTATCATTATTAAAATATTAATTTATCATATGAAACTAATTAATAAACTTATTTTAAAAGTAGACATAATTAAATATATGTTTTAGTTCATCGATAATATTTAAGTTTATTTTAGTATAGTTTCTATTATTAAAAAAAAATTGTAATTTAACTTTTATTATTTAAAAATTGTAAATATTATTTAGTTTAATATTCGAATAAATATTCAACCAACCAAAAGAAATAATGTTTAATTTTTTAAAAAAATTTGATTATAAAATTGTAAAATATTTAAAAATTAAATCAATTTAATTTTCTGGATTTAGTAAATAAATAATTGTCTAATTTAAATATTTTAGTAAAAAGAATATAATTTTTTATTTTATTATTTTTGGTTGGTGTCACCACAAGCCCTTGAGCACTAAGTCCTCGGCGGAGAAGAAAAAGGCTTTACTCATCAATTCGTAGGTACGTATTGAGGCGTCCGGTAGGGAAATTCAGCCGATTTTCTTGTAGAGAGAAGATGCGTTTTGAAATCGCGAGGAAATTCTGTTGCTAATTTGACGATTTCAGTTTTTTCGGTAGGAAAAACCTAACGAACTCTTCCTCGAATCATATCATCATCTTTGAGTTGATGGTTATCATCTGAAAGAGGTTAGGTTTTACTTGGATTGGTAATCGATTTCGTTCAGATCTGTTCGACTTTAGAACTGTTGATTTATACTGTTCAACTCGAGTTCTGTAATTCTTTTCGAATCGGATTTGGGAGGGCATGTTATCGCAGGAACTTGCTCCATTTGGAATTTAGCTTGTGTTGGATTGTGTCTGAGGGTTTCAGGGAATCTTCCCTTTTTAACGAGAGGTTGTTCTTCCTTTTTTTTTCTTTTTTTTTTTTTGATTGCTTCAGCACAGCGAAGGTAGAGGAATAATTCGACTATACCGAAATTGCTTCTGAATTATTTCTTGAAATTATGCATCCCCGTCACCGTAATACGGGAAATGGATTTAGGTCTAGTTCCATGGGAGTGGGATTAGCTTCTTCTCGAATCTCTCCAGAGGGATCGGTTAGGGGCCATGGAAGCGTATATGGCAATGATTATCGCAACTTTAATCATCCGAGTGGCTTTGGGCGCGGTCAGGGATACCCCAAATCATATCAGTCATCCCAGTCACTGCCTCCTCCGCGAAGAGGTGGGGGTTCTGTTGACATTTTTATGGAAGCAGGTCGCCTTGCAGCTGAATACCTGGTTTTTCAAGGTTTGCTCCCATCTAGTGTTTTACATGGTAAATGGCAAGGTGGAAGCTTGAGGAGGGAGTCTTCTGAGTTTCAGGAATTAGGTCAACTTCGAGAAGAAGGACGAGCATCTACTGCTTCCCCTCATTCGGGACATATGGGACCTGATTCCGGGTCAGGGTGGAGGCAGCCTCCTGATGAATATGGTTCAGCATCACGAAATCATTTGAGAGGCCGAAGAAGAACCTCATCCTTCCGTAGTAGTGGTTCTGATTGGAGTGGCCAAGGTAGGAGCAATAATTACAATGATAGAGCGAGAGCTTCTCCAGATACAGAAGCTGATGAGGACGCTGATAATCTTTCTGCTTATAGTAATCAACAGCAAAGTGGTGAAGAAATCGTTTCTGAACTGCAAGATTTCAAACCTTCCAAGTTAGGACGAAAAGGTGACACACCTGAGGATTCTGGACCTGAACTGGTTAAGTACCCTTTGCCGGATGATGTAGGCTCAAAGGCAAGTACTTCTGCTGTTGTGAAAGATCTTCCATGTGAGAAGAAACTTGCTAAAGATTCTGATGATTTAGGTAACATAGATTCAGGGTCTGAGGAGATGAAAAATACTGCCAGTATTAATGAAACTGAGAAACATTGTGTGACCGAGAAACTATCCGTCCAGAACAAAGCTGCTGATGGTGATCCCTTGGTAAAGCAAGAAACTGATCTACTAGCATTCTGCAGATTTGCTAAGTTCCCCACCAAAACTCGCTCTGCACTGGCGTACAAGGTTTCTAAGGCCGATCCTATTACAACTGTGTCAGAACGACCTTCTGATATTAACCCTAACAGAGAATCTGAAATATCACTCGACAGTGACTCTTCCAGTTGTGCATTATCTGGTGCTGTATCAGCTAAAAAACATGATATTGAGCATCTGAACTCTGAAAGATCTAAACTGGAAGCTGTTGAGGAAACTGGTATAATAGAGGAGCTATATCCTAGATTTGGTGAGAAGACAAGCACTTTGACGTCTCAATCTTTCCAGCAGGGACCATTTTGGAACGAGAACAAGGAAGAATCTTGCCAAAGTCCTGTCATATTTGAACGGACAGATTCTATGTTTGAGGATAGGGGTAAAAAACGATCTTTGGATGAGAGTGATGTGGTGGAGGGGAGTAGTAAAAAACCAAGAGAATGGATTCCGTTGATGACTTCTAAGGAAGATGAATCCTTTGACCTTCTGAAGTTTGATAAAACGAAAATTAATTCTGAGGAAAACAAGCCTGATCATGAAGTTATTGTAGCAGCTAACTGTGTGAACTCAGTGCAGGGTTTTCATTTCATGAAAGGCGGGGGTGAGCATTGTGTTGATTATGCACAAGAAAAGCAGCTTTTTCCGAATTCATTTAAGATCTGTGACCTTAACCTTATGGAGGCTTCTGATATACATGATAATCACGAAAATAATCCGCTTCTCATCTTCCCATCTATTTCTGAAACAAAAAGAGAAAGAACTCCTGTTGATATTGACTTGTCCATAAGCAATGCTCCTGAATTTGGTCCAAATGGTGTGGTGACTGGCAGTAAAGAGATTGAAATTATTGATTTGGAAGATGACTCTGCTGTCGAAGTAGACAAGACCTTCCATAATACAGAGAGAAAGTAAGGTTTCTCATATTTTATTTGTACGTTATTTTTCTCTTACATTTTCTTAAATATGCTGATAATTGCACCTCAACTAGTTTCCTTTTGTTTGAATTCTCTATTAGAAGCTTTTAAATTGTATACGAACATTGTAGTTAACTGTATTAATGTAATTTTCAGGAGGGAAACTGTATTTAATGGATTGGATGGCTTTCCCAACAACGCACAAAATAATGGAGATATGCCTGATGTTCAAGATGGCTATGGAATTATGATTTCGGAGTTGCTTGGAGCAGAATTCCCTAACTGTGCTTCTGTTCAAGGAGACCTTAACTCAATGAACAATGAAATGCCTCTTCCGAACGGAGAAGTACTTCCTTGATTATATCCAACTTCATCATTTATTGAAGATTTTTCTTTTTGATACTTTGTCTAGCTTCTTAAATATTGTTGTTAGATTCTTCAATAAATGTTGATAGAAGTGTTCGAGTCTCTATGCTTCATAGTTTACTTCCATTTCCACCTTCTTCTGTGTCCATAGTAATTTAGAATTATATGAGCTCATATTCATTTCCCGTTGACCTCGATAAAGTTTTAATGATCTGTCATTTGCTTATTATTTCAGGGTGCTCTGGCGGATGATGATCTAATATACATGTCCCTTGGAGAAATTCCATTGAGTATGCCAGAATTTTAATTTCTTTTTATGTGTCCATCAATATAATTATGTGATCAATCTACCAAAAGTGCTTGGACACCCTTGAATAAGTTTAATTTAATGTGATAGGAGTTGTGTATTATTCAAAAGAAGGATATGTAATTTTTTTCCCACAGATAGTGAAGGCCAGAAGTGTATGTGGGAAAGGAAATAGGTTAATATTGTAAGACAGAATGATAGCAATTGGTCTTTTCTTTAGCTGCTTCTGTTTACTATTCATTTTCTTGCCACTTTATTAGTTCATGTCTCCTTTACATCTCTCTCTATATATATGGTTTTTTTTTTTTTTTTTTTTGTTTAGGGTGGGGGGAACTAGAAGCTGTAAAAATCCTGGGCATCTTTTTTTTCTTTTCTTTTTCTTGTTGACTATGCATGATGATGCCTTTCAGTCTATATGAGGGAATGACTGACTGATACGAGCACAGGAAAGCGAAATATATAATTCTTGGCTTGTGATTCGGATTGAACATTTGAGCGATATTTATATATTCCCATGGAGCTGCAGAAACTGACATCATTTTTCTAGTAATGACCGTGCTGATCCTCGCCTTCCTCGGAACTGTGTGTTGAAATTTTCCTTAGAGACGAAGAATCGTTTAGGGAGTATGTAGTATTAGTTTCAAGAATTCTGTGTTAGGGATGTCCAAATCTTTGTAGGTTCTGGTGTTGATTGATTTTTTAGGCTCTAGGATGAACTCAAGAGCATTCTCAGCTGCCTGCTCAATTTGCATCACTGTGTTGAGCAAACTATGTTGCTGAGTAGTTGAAAATGTAGGTTTGTTTTATGCATATTAAGTAATTACTCTGGAAATCTGAGCTTTTGCTTCTTTAATTCCTCCAAGCATTGTTCTGTGTTCTAGAACAATGGCCATCTCTTTTTGTGTTCTTTGTTTTCCAATCTAGTATAAAAATGTTACTGAAATTGCAGTCTAATCTTATTCTTGCCTTCAAAGCTTGTACCAACAATTCCACAATACACAACACATAAGCACGAACACTAGCAATATTTAGCCCGTAAGCTATCTTGTTCACACCACGAACACGAACAGCCTGTTCCATACTACTCATAACACAACCCGATCATACATCAACACTTATTCTTCTTCACGATAATTGATACACGACATCTTGGGGGAGAAGCTCAATTAGCTTTAGGGCATTGAAGGCCCCCTTTTCTGCCTTTTCCTATGCAGAGGGTGGAAAAGAGGCCAGGAGGATAGTTTCCATACAGATTAATATAAGTGAACATAGTTGAAGCACAATTATTGGTTAAATGATTCAGATATTTGGCTTAGGGGCACGCAAATTCTGCAAGAGCTGAGCAGCAAAGATTGGCTGTGTATTTAGGCCCCTTGCACTTGCTTGTGATGATGGTGTAGTTCGCAACTTCAAAATTCACTGGACAAGCTGCATTCATCCACTACTTAGTTTTGATACAATTAAAATCTCAAACTAATAATTGTATCGAACCTTTTTTGACTTGAAGAATTGTACGAGTGGTGAGACTTGTAGATCCAATGATATGCTCTGCAATTACAAAGGAAATCAGACCAAAAATCTCCCGATTTTGAAGCAACGAACAAATAAATTTGAACATAAGTAGCTAACTTATAAGTACTTGATGTGAAAGCCCGGACGAAGAGTATGGAAAGAAAGAGGAGAAGGAAGAGGGAGGAGCATGGATGGGACTCCATTTTGATCATCTTGAGAGCAATGTGGCAGAGGGTTTCTTATAGTCTGAGATTGGAGTGTGGTTTGAGTTCTTGAGATCTCATATGAGCCGCCTTGACTTCACTCACTCCACCACCCCAAGTCTCCCCATCTTTAAACAATAAGAGGACTTTTGTTATCTTATCTGATAACCATTTGATTTTTCAAACTTTGTGTTCGTTTTTTCTAATAATTTTCTGTCGATTATTTATAAAATTTGAATAATCTCACATGAGATTTGAATTGCATTCAAAAGTCAGCTATGGTTCGTTTGATGTATTTGTAATAGTAGATGCCGGAGTACTCTTATGAACTATAAGATAAGTTGCATCCATGAATATTATATGCAAGTCAATCATTCATGACTTGTTCATAATTACATATGGATCAATCCATTTTATCTCTATAATTACTATGAGTCTGTAAATTTGACTTAGTAACTCACCTCGAAATTTTTAGTAGTTGCCTAATTATAAGTCCAAGAAGATGGTTAGTTTAGGAGAATTGTAAGTAATACTAACTTTGGAGAGAGTTGAAGGGAGAGAGTTTAAGAAACTTGTTAGTGTTTTTTCATAAATAGTCCTCATATGTATGTTTTATTTACAAGAACAAAAAGAGTTGAAAAGTACATTGATTAAAGTTATTTTATTTGGTACAAAGAAACTCTTCCCTCAACTTGTTCTTTCTACTTCATTTATTTGTTTCGGTATACTTTGATTAAGAGTCAAAACTAATATTTGATAGAGTTAGAATGTCAAAACAAATGTCGTCACCACAAAAAGTCATTGGAGGAGATGTGACAATGATAAAAAACGAAAAGGAGGAGAGTTTAACACTCGTTACTAAAATTCATTCATTAGGTAACAAGGTGGAGGAGATCTCCGTTGCTAAGAAATTTCTTTGAGTTGTCACCTAAGATGTAGGCAGATTGTTACCTCTATTGAACAGTTTCATGACCTCAAGAACATGTCAATTGAGGAGATCGTTAGTCATCTTAAGGTTCATGATGAGAGGTTTCGTAGCTATAATGATAGGGGTACAATGAACAAAACAGTAATTACAAATAGTTTGTGAATGATTCCCGATAAAGTCACAAAGATTAACATAATGGTATAACTAGGTTTAAGTTTTCCTTAAATTTGATCATAAACATGTATAAACCAGGACGCTCCATGATTGGAAAAGTATGAGCCATGGGAACTACAGCCCAATAATTCATAAACGTTAAAATATATATATTGAAGAGAAGAACGACAAACAATGGGGCGCTCAGAGCATAAAAAAAGGCCATGAGAAGAGAAGTACAAGTCCAGAGGCAACGATGATTGCAGGAGATCGACATTTTGAGAGTGGGGTCGAGTTTGGATGGGATGGAGCTGGCAATTGAGGGCAAGTAAGACCTTGATCTCCTTCTCGACATATGCTGGAGAAAAGGCCAGGTGGGTACTTTCCATGGAGGTTAATGTAGCTAAACATGGTTGAAGCACAAACAGTTGTCATATCATTCATGACATCAACATAAGGGCAAGAAAGTTCTGTTAGAGCTGAACAACATAGCTCTGGAGAATATAAAGGCCCCTTGCATTTGCTTGTGATGATTGTGTAGTTCAAAAATTCAAAGCTCACAGGGCAAGCTGCACAAATTTGTTACAACTACATGACATCGTCACATTACTTCAGGAATCACAAAAATAAAAGAAAGCACTTCACTTTTTCTACAAGCAGTTCAACAGATTTCTTCATATCATTGATAATGTCATTTTAGTTGCAGCCAAATATCCATACTTTCAAGGTAATAACAGATATTGTCCTTTTTGGACTTTCCCTTTCGAGATTCCCCTCAAGGTTTTTAAAACGCGTCTGCTACGGAGAGGTTTCCACACCCTTATAAAGGGTGTTTCGTTCTCCTCCCTAACCGATGTTGGATCTCGCAAGGAGTCAGCAGGGTCATCAAGAGAAAGGGTAAACAAAAAAACAGGGAACCTTTTTTAGTCTGAAGGAGTCGCCGTCCAACTGAAGTCTCAGATCCAAGGATTTCATCTGAAAGTACACACAAGAAAAGTGGGAAGATTCAACAAACAAATTCAAACGAAGCATTCTTAAGAACAAGAAAACCCCTTCAAAGAAACAGAAATGAATACCTGATATGAAGGTTGAATCTGCAGAGGAAACAACAAAGAAGAGGAAAAACAGAAAGAAGGAGCAAAAGAACCTATCAGAACCCATAATCTATGAGAGATTATTCAGCTTTGGAGCTGGAGAGATCACTGTGTTCAAACTCAGGGAATTGAATCAAAATGTTAGTTCAGTGTTCTTCACTCATTTCTGTTTTCTCAGGCAATTGAAAATAGAAAAGAAAGAGGAAACCAAGATTTAAACCTAAATGTAACATAAAACCAAGAAGAAAAAACAGTAAGGAATTAAATATGGAGAGATAAAAGCGGTGAAGTTACAGATAGCAAGTCATTAAGGAATTTGAGAGAAAGATGATGGAGTTGGCTCAAGTTCTACCTGAAACCAATTCATTAAGGAATTTGGTGCATTTGAAAGTTCGCCATATGAGGCAAAACATGACACCAAAGCTCCCCATGCGATGATAGCTCTGTTGGGCATTTCTTCAAACAGTTGATAGGCATGGTGCAAACACAAAATCATAACTCTCTCCATTCAACATCTCTCGTGGAATATGGATTCCGTTTATCCTTGATTCAATAAATGATCCCAAATGGACGCACTCACCAGATTAGTTGATGAAAGATCCATCGCCGCCAAATACAATTTGTTCTTTGTGGATTCTGATATCATCGCGCTCCAAGATGCTAAATCTTTTGCGGTCATATGATCATCAGTGCCTTCAGGACCCAGGCATAAGTGTAGCTGTGGAGTATAATTTAGTTGTTTTTGTTGGAGGGTGAAAGTTCGATGTCCGTTAATTTAGGAAATGATTATAGGTTTATAATAAAAAAAATATTCTTTTTATTAACTAAATACACCATATGTTCAAAGTACAATATCATAACATTATAGAGAGTCGTGTTCATATAACAGTTTTCAATTCGATTCGGATTTTTTTGGTTGAGCGTTAAGCCTCTGATCCTCGTATTATATACAAACAAGCAAGTCGGAAAATGGAATTGTGTTCAAACAAAGAGATTATTGTCGGGATCGTGATCATTACAAAAAAATTTAATCTTAGTAAAGTTATTGACATAATTGAATGATGATGTAGTTTTCGACTTTGATGATATGTATTTTTTAAAATGAATTAAAAAAAATTATTCAGGTTTTATATTTTATTTTCAAAGACTAATAAAAAGATCAATCAAACTTCAACAACTAAAATGTTAGGATTACTTTAAGTAAATACTGTATTAGAGAATACGAAGAATATAAATATATATATATATATATATATAAGGTTTAACTTGCTATATATAACTTTACTAGATATAATCGTCTACGGTATATAACTATATAACTATTTAATTATATATATATATATAGTACTATTGAGTTATATATAAGTACTATGATGGTTGATTAAACTATAAATGAGCCGGTCCCATAACCTAACATCATGAAACTCACATTTCAAACATTTACTGGTCAAAATCAATCACTAACATTGGCAAATATGAAATATTCTTAGTATTCGTAATAATCTTAGATGTAAGGTAGTGTTGGGTTGGATTATAAGCCTATTTTTGGATGGATCGGATTCACCCAACCAAAAAAATGTCAACCTGCAAAACCAATCTGAATTTTTGGTTTTCTAAAAATTTCAACTCAACTCAAACAGGAAAAAAAAATTAACCCAACTCAATATTTATAGTTTAAGTTTGGTAGTCCAAATTAGTCACGTTATCAAATCATATAAACATCTTTATTAGTTTAAATCTCGAACTTACCTCACATGATGGCCTTTATCCTTGAACAGACATGTCAAAAGTTTGTCAAGTAGGATGTTGTCTATTCAAGAGACGACCTCTCCACACATAAAAGTCTTCCATTAGTATTAGTTTAGTGGTCGCCACTTCCCATAGCACTTGCTTATGATGATGATACACCAAGTCTCCCTGACAAATAAAAAGCACAGAAACCTCCAATAAGAACTTTGAATAAGAAATAACTCACTTTCCTCAGCAATTACCGGTAGATTACACAAGTTTAGTTCATGAAACAGAAAGAACTATGACAATAAACACAGGGAATTGCAGTTTTAGCAGCAAGTTTAAGGGTAGGTACACTTACAAATGGGAAGAAAGAACGGTGAAAAATGAACCTTGTCATAATAGCCACAGCAGTAGTACAAATCCAGGCGAGAAGATCAGCAAGCGAGATGGCAAATGTGCTATGGAACCCCAACTTTGATCGGCTGAAGCGGAGGGAGGTAGCACTGGGCATGCCAGACCATTCTTATCACCCGTGCACTCGCTAGAGAAGAGACCAGGAGGGTATTTTCCATACAGATTAACGTAACTGAACATGGTTGAAGCGCAATCGTTTGTTGGATCGTTGAGATCATCCGCATAAGGGCAAGCGAATTCAGTCAAAGCTGAACAACAGAGTTCGGGAGGGTATCGAGGCCCCTTGCACTTGCCTGTGATGATGCTGTAGTCCAAGAATTCAAAGTTCACTGGACAAGCTGCATAAATTGTGCATACATTACATGATTACAGCAAATTTGTTTTATAATAGCTTCAGAAACTACAACACTAAAACAATATCGATACAAAAACTCCTGAGATGCCAAATTTAAAGCAAATACCATATGATGAACAAGTCAGAGAATTGAAGCAGGATAAAAATCAATTAATCTCAAGGAAGAAATACACATTTTCCAAACCATTAAATTAAATACGTACAATTCCTTAAACTTCGCACCGCTGAAATTTTATCTGGCCTAAATCACGGATGCGTGGATCAATCCAATACGAAAATGAAAGAAATAAATCATTCGATTCAACCAGATAAAATTAATTTAATATTTATGTTCAATTTCATTATTTCACGGCAATCGTGGCAAAAGCGAAATCTTCGAAGAACACTAGTAGGTTCGAGAGAATCAAATAATAATCAAACCAGCACAAATCCACAAGAAGTAATCCCGAATTCCACACAACCTCGAGAAGGAAGAAGCACAGATCGGCAAGATCTTATACAAACAGAACAAATACTAACTAAATAGCTTGCAAACCCTAACAGAAGCAGGCCTCCAATTAAAAAATTACGAACTCAGCAAAAAAACAAAAAAAAAAAAAAGAAAGTCGGAGAAAGAGAGTAGAACCTTTTTTCGCTTGTAGGAGGCCCCGACCGATTGAAGCCTTCGATTCAAAGACATCCACTGAAAAATAAAAAATAAACTCAACTTTAAAGACAAAAACAGAGAAGAAGAAGAAGAAGAAGAAGAAGAAGCAGGAGAGTGAATTATGACAATGTCACGGTAGTTGTGAATGTGAGGTACCTGAAATGGAAGTGGAGGAAGAAGCAGTGAAAAGCAGTGAGATGAAGAAGAGGAGAAGCATTGAGAAATTGCAGAAGGACCTATCGGAGACCGTCATTCCGGCGGGAGAGATAGAGAGAGAAGATTGTTCTTCTTCTCCGACGAGAAGGCGAGTACAGGCTGTTGGATTGAATCTCCACTCACAAAATGCTTTTGCATTATTATCATTATCATTATTATGTCTAAATCCCACTCTCGGATATAATTATATTGAACATATGACCATGGATAACACGTTTTGAATAAGTATGACATGAACATTTGACATGCAATCATAGATCTCACGTCTTGAACAAGTATGACATAAACATCTGACATGCGATCATAGATATGACGTCTTGAACAAGTATGACATGGACATCTGACATGTGATCATAAGTGACACGTCTTGCATAAGTATGACATAGACATCTGATATGCGATTATAGATATCACATCTTGAACAAGTATGACATGAACATCTGACATACGATCATAAATATCACGTCTTGAACAAGTATGATATGCGATCATAGATATCACGTCTTCAAGTATGACATGGACATCTAACATGCGATTATAGGTAACACATCTTGAACTTGTAACATTTTGAGTCGAGGGTTGCAGAGTCTAGAATTATTTTAGCTTGAGTTGAATGTAAGAACTTATGAAACAAATTATTTAGTCTATGTTTAGGGCTGTTAGGTTAATTATTTAGTATGTGTTGTTAAGTTGATTAATGTAAAGAGTTATTCAAATTATATTGGTTGGATTTGAATTTAGAATTATTATCACGATTATTGTTTTAAATTCGTTGATGATTATATTTCATATTATAGTACCGAATAGTAAAAATTCAAATTTTACATTGAGTTTATTGATGTATTTCATGTCAAATAGAGCAAATACATTAAGTGCAGTGCTCGCTCAACGAGAAAGGGGCTAAGGAGGTGTGCGAACCGACTAGTGGGTCCATACTCGCATGTGTGGACAGTGTGTATAATAGTAAATACACATTCAATTACCCGTTGGATAGCCGTCGTAGGAATATAGATTGATATGATAGGTCCTAGTCATGATTGTATGTGTTTTCATCTAACTCTAGACGGTCACTCACTAGTATTTCTTAAAATACTCAAGCTATGTGATACTCTTATTTTTTTTCACGAAAGGCAAGACTCCGTATACGACTGACGATGGAATTGCAACCTAAAAGACCGTGCATATGCATAGGGTATTTTGCAATTTGAATTTAGGAGACTAAAGGTTAGTATACGTTAGTCTGCATTTTCATTTAGTAGCATATAGGTTAGTATAGGGCATTTTTACTTCATGTTATTTTCAATTTTTGTTATTTTATATAAAGGCCTTCTAGATTAGATGTAAAACCAAGATTATGTTTTTATAATAAAGTTTTGAATGAAATATTTTCACATAAAATGTCTATGATAGGTATATAGTAACGACTTTAGGTTAAGTAGAAATTTAGAGCTATTACAACTTTTTTAATAAGCTTTAATCAATAAATTCTCCTATATTGAGAATCATGACACGGGCTCTAAAAATCTTTAGCTTTAGGGAAGGAAGCATGAGGTGTCTCACAATATTTTTGTATCTAGCCTAGCATATCTCGATAGAACCATACAAAGATATCAATATCCTCCAAAATAAAATCAAAAACTTTTATTAAAAATGAAAATGCAACAAAAAAAAGATTAAATGAACTAAATGAGACCGAAACTAACTTAGACTTGACGAAAACTTGAATGATCAAAACAATCAAGGTCAAAATCTTCAGGGCACAGGTAAATCCTCGAGCCTACTTCCTCTTCTTCTATTATGGCTGGAACATAATGATTTTTACCGCTGGTTTTGAACCTTGATTGAAGTACATTAAAAAAAAATAAGCGAAATAGAAAGAAATACTCACAAAGCACACTTTGAAAGAAAAAAATCACTAACAATTCTTCTCGTACAAATAATCTGTGATTAACAATTTCGGCTAACACATCCCAGGATTCCAATATGATACTTAATGTTCGCTTTGAACAAGTCGAGTTTATTGACTCACAATAACCTGTTGAATGAATTACAACGGTACTTTTAATGATATGATATAATGGTGATTAAC